TCTCACTCTGTCAACCAGGCTGGAGTGCAGTAGTGCGATCTCGGCTCACTGAAACCTCCGCCTCCCATGCTCAGGCGATCCTTCTACCTCAGCCTCCAGGCTAAGAAGCTGGGACATGTGCCACCTGACCTGGCTTTTTTTTTTTTTTTTTTTTTTGAGAGGGCGTTTCACTCTTGTCCATCCTGCAGTGCAATGCAAGGTCTTGGCTCAGTGCAACCTCCACTTCCCGGGTTCAAATGATTCTCCGGCCTCAGCCTCCTGAGTACCTGGGATTTCAGGCACCTGCCACCACGCCTGGCTAATTTTTGTATTTTTTTTAAGGAGAGATGGGGTTTTACCATGTTGGCCAGGCTAGTCTGGAACTCCAGACCTCAGGTGATCCACCCGCCTTGGCCTCGCTGAGATTCCAGGCGTGAGCCACCACGCCCAGCCCCATCATCAAGGTTTTCAGGGCCTAGCTGCAAAGCAGGGGCAGGGGAAGTTACAGGGGCGGTGAAGCACGCGGTACGGGCCAGCATCTGTTTGAAGCCGCTGTGTCTGTTTCCTGTGCGCTTTATGGAGGGAGGCGAAGGAGCACCCGTGTCTGCACGGCTGCAGGATGGGGCACAGGCAGCCAGTCCCAAGCGGCATTCAGGCAGCCGGCCCCGTTGTGGCAGGCACCTCATGTGAAGCCCACCCCTCTGTGATTAGGAAATTCTCCAGAAAGCTCCAGCCTCTGTCTTTTCTGTCACCTTTGACCCCAGGAGGGCACTAGGGGACCCAAACCCCGCCCCGCATCAGCCAATAGACACAGCAGTGCGGCACCTGTGGGACTTTATTAGGGGGAGCATTTCCTAAATGTGCAGGGCCGGAAAGGCAGAGGTGGGAGGGGTCCACGGCCAGGCTCCGTGAGTTGTGGTCTCACTGTGGACTCAGGATGAGGGGTGCTCATCCACTGGCCCAGGCCCCTCCCTCTTCAGCAAGCGCATTGTCTGCTGGTGCTGCTGAACAAAGTCTTCAACATGGGCATCCAACATGGCCTCGGTGAGGACTCCATCCTCGGAGGCATACGCCGTGTCCTAGTGAGGAGAGAGGGAGCTGAGGGAGGCCACCATGGGAGCCCCCCACCCGTAACGCACGCCAGGGCCCCAAGGAGGGGAGGGTGCAGACCAGGGGCACCAGGACGGCCTCAGGGTTAAACACAGGCTTCCTGCACCTCGGCAGAGCCCAGCATGCGTGTGGACACCGGGAGCGGCCCCTGCAGTGACACAGCCCTGCCTGTGTCCTCAGCACTGCAGTTTCTCAGTGACTTTCTAATAACGGAAAGCCCGAGGCCGAACCCCACTGACTGCAGACCCAGGGCAGCTCCCAAGAGGCAGGAGGGAATTGCAGACCCTCTGCGTGTCTCAGCCGTGGCCAGGCAGTGCCCCCGGGTCACAGTGCACCGCAGAACCTCAGACCCTCACCTTCATAGGCCTCCAGGACAGAGGCAGCCACTGCCCAACCTCGGGGCACATAGGTGCTAGCATCAAGGTCACCCGTGCCTCCACAGGACTTGGTATCCAGCACGCGGAGGCTGGAGCTGCTGGGACTGTGGCCCTTGGAGTCACTTCAAGCACCTCAGGTGCAGCCCTTCTGCCATGGACAGGTCGCTCTCCATCCCAGTGCCAGTGAAAGGCGTGGAGTCCCCAAGGGGAGGCACCCATGGGTCAGGGTGAAGGTGTGGGCACCCCCACTGGGCACTGTGCTTGGGAGGGCACCAGGATGCCTGGAGGAAGCACAGGGTGAAGGTGTGGGCACCCCCACCGGGCACCGTGCTTGGGAGGGCACCAGGATGCCTGGAGGAAGCACAGGGTGAAGGTGTGGGCACCCCCACTGGGCACCGTGCTTGGGAGGGCACCAGGATGCCTGGAGGAAGCACAGGGTGAAGGTGTGGGCACCCCCACTGGGCACCGTGCTTGGGAGTGCACCAGGATGCCTGGAGGAAGCACAGGGTGAAGGTGTGGGCACCCCCACTGGGCACTGTGCTCCGGAGTGCACCAGGACGCCTGGAGGAAGCACAGGGCAGGGGATGCTTCCCGGACAGCTGAGGGGTCCCTCACTCCGTCGCGGCTGTGCCTCCCAGAGGCAGGACTCATCTCACAGGGTAAAGGGGCAGCAGCGCACCATCCTCCCACAACACGGCTGCCACGACGGGACCTGCCATGGGGATGACCACGTGGTGCTCGTACTCTCTGGCAGCGCCCACCGCTCGCCAAGAGCCACTGTGTGGGGAGATACCGACTGGAGCTGGACCGCCACTGTGCGTCAGGGACCCAGGTCTGTTCAACATCATTTTTGATCTTGAGCCGACCCAAGAGAGTTGAAACAGGTGCGGGAACCCTCAGGGTGCACCCGAGTGGCTGCACCTCACCCAGGGCCCAGTGGAGGAAAGGGAATGAGCAGATGCTCACGGGGCCACCCCACCAGGAAGCACGGGACCTGGCAGAGCCCACCAGAAGTGACAGCGAAATGTCACGTGGCCTCCTGGGTGGGATTCTCGGCAAGACCCAGTCCCAGGTGGGGCCATGCCCAGCTAATTTTTTATATTTTTATTAGAAACAGGGTTTCACCGTGATAGCCAGGATGGTATCGATCTCCTGACCTCGTGATCCACCCGCCTTGGCCTCCCAAAGTGCTGGGATTACAGGCGTGAGCCACCGTGCCTGCCCACTTTTTTTCTTTTTAATTTTTGAGACAATGTTGCTCTTCTTGCCCAGGCTGGAGTGCAAATGGCACGATCTCGGCTCACTGCAATCTCTGCCTGCCGCATTCACGCGATTCTCCCGTCTCAGCTTCCCGAGTAGCTGGGATTACAGGCATGCACCACCATGCCCAACTAAGTTTGTATTTGTAGGAGAGATGGGGTTTCTTCACGTTGGTCAGGTTGGCCTCGAACTGCCGACCTCAGGGGATCCACCCGCCTCACACTTTTATGATAAAAACACTCACCAAACCAGGAATTGAAGGATACGCCCTAAACACAATGAAAGCCACATATCACAAGCCCATAGGTGACATACTCAGTGGTGAAAAACAAAGCTTTTCCTCTGAGGTAAGGAACCAGGCAAGAATGCTTTACCGCTTCTATTCCACACACCACTGGAAGCTCTGGCCAGAGCAATTAGACAAGAAAAAGAAAAGTCATCCAAACTGAAAAGGGAAAGGGAAAATCACCTGTTCTCAGATGAAATAATCTTATATGTGGAAAGTCCTAGAATCCATATTGGAAGAAAAAACGCCGTGACATCAGCAAACTTACAGGATACAAAACCAACAGCAAAGAAAGCTTCAGTTCTACATCCCAACAGTGAATAATCTGAACGGGGAATTATGAAACCATTTCCATTTACAATAGCAGCGGAAAGAATAAAATACTTGGAAATTCACTTAACCAAGAAGGTGAAAGACTTGTACAATGAAAACTGGCCGGACGCGGTGGCCCACGTCTGAATCCCAGCCCTTTGGGAGGCTGAGGCAGATGGATTAGCTCATGTCAGGAGTTCAAGACCAGTCTGGACAACATGGTGAAACATCATCTCTACTAAAAATACAAACATTAGCCAGGCGTGGTGGTTCAGGCAATCCACTTACCTCGGTCTCTCAAAGTCCTGGGATTACAAGTGTGAGCCAAAGTGCCCAGCACAAAAAACACAACTGTTGAAGGACCAAGTGTGGGGTTGGGCACGGTGGCTCCCCACCACGACTGTGAGCGGCGCGGGATGAGCATCCTTATAAGGGACACCAGAGAGCCGAGTTGCTCTCGCTGCCACATGAGTATCCAGCAAAGAACACTGCACGGGGGTGGGGACTGAGCAGGCACCCTGACCTTGGGCCTCTGCCTTCAGAGCTATGGGGACACACACCCCAGTGGTTAGGGCAGGCTCAGTAGCCAACCACACTCCTGGGTTTTTGTTTTTTGTTTTTTGTTCTTTTTTTGAGACGGAGTCTCTCTGTTGTTCAGGCACGAACTCGGCTCACTGCAACCTCCACCTCCCAGGTTCAAGTGATCCTCCCACCTCAGCCTCCCAAGCAGATGGCATTACAGGCGTGCACCATTGGGTCCGGCTAATATTTTTATTTTTTGTAGAGATGGGGTCTCCCCTTGCTTTCCAGGCTGGTCCTGAACTCCTGACTTCAAATAATCTGGCTGACTTGACCTCCCCAAATGCCGGGAAAACAAGCGTGAGCCACCACCACGCCTGACCTCTGCTTGCTTAGTTGTGGAAAGAGACCTGGTCCCAAGTGGGGACGGCCTGGAACACAGACCTCAGCTGACCCACAAGGATGGGGTTTGAGATCTGAGGCTCTTTGTCACAGCGGCATAACCCAGCCTGTACTGACTAATACAGCCCCTAGAGACCCCGGCTCCAACGTTCAAATCAAGGTAACTGGCTACTTCATGAACCTGTCACACACCAAAGCGCTGCTAGGTGGAGTGACAAGGTTGTCACACAGACTCTGCAGACCCCAGAGGCAGCGATGCCTGTGCATGCCCTTGGTGCCTTCAGCCCCACAGACCTGGTTTTGCTTTTCCAGCAACCCCCAAAGATCAAAGCTTTCTGGATGGCCACGCCCACACTGCTCTGAGTCCCGGCTCCCCGTCCCTGCAGCAGCCACGGAGCTGCAGGAGGGGTCCTCCAAGGAGCAGCCGGCTGTGGGACAATCAGAGGTCAGAGGTCACTCCTGCCCATGTGTCTGAGCCCGTCAAGCAGGACCAAGGCAACGGACGTGGTCCAGGAAACACAACATCCCTCCAGCCCCACCACCAAACTCAGGCGGGGCCTGTCCTGATGACCATTCACACCAGGGGGTGCCCGTCTGCCAAGTTGAGCATGGAAAGCCTCCCGGCCCACCTGGCAGAGCCCGGATACTAGGATGCCGGACG